TCGGTGCGCTGTAACTGATGACTGATGTAGCATCGGTGCGCTGTAACAGATGATTGATTTAGCATGGTGTGCTTTAACTGATGACTGATGTAGCATTGGTACGCTGTAACTCTGATGACTGATGTAGCATCGGTGGGCTGTGACTAATGTAGCATCGGTGGGCTGTAACTGATGACTGATGTAGCATCGGTGCGCTGTAACTGATGACTGATGTAACATTGGGGCGCTGTAACTCTGACTGATGTAGCATCGGTGCGCTGTAACAGATGATTGATTTAGCATGGTGTGCTTTAACTGATGACTGATGTAGCATTGGGGTGCTGTAACTTTGATGACTGATCTAGCATCGGTGCATTGTAACTGATGAGTGATGTAGCATCGGTGCGCTACAGCACTGGCCTCACCTCTGCTCTGACCTCTGGAACCTGCAGGCCATTGAGGATGGAAACCTGGAGGAGATGGAGGAGGAGATCCGCCTGAAAAAACGCAAACGCAAACGACGTCAGGGCAAAGACTCGTCGAGTCGGGACATCACAGGCATGAAGGCCAAGAAAAGACGTGGACGTCCGCCGGCGGAGAAGCTGTCCCCCAATCCCCCGAAGCTCACCAAGCAGATGAACACCATCATCGACACCGTGATCAACTACAGAGACGGGTAAGTTATGTCAGCTAACGGCTGCTGCATTTTAGTTTGTTCATTTTTAAACAGTGGTGGGACCAGCTATGTTTGATTAGAGACAAAAAGACAGGAGACAGAACTGTCTCTGACAATGTCAGAAATGAAGATGTTGAGGTTCTCCTTAGGAATGACAAGGCTGAAGAAGATTAGGAATGAGATCATCAGAGGAACAGCACAGGTCGAACAACTGGGAGATAAAGTTAGAGAGTCAGAGATTCTTTGTCATTCGCACCTCATGTGGTACATGTGGTGGAGCGAATATATGTACACAGGGTCCCAGTCACATCCAACAATAAAATGTAAAAGAAAAACAGTAATAACATCTAAGATATGAACTAAGAAAAACATCAACTAAATATACACTAAGCACTCATAACATAAAAACATCACGTCGAACAGCAGCACAAACATGAACACGTGTCCGTGTAAGTAGATGAGCACGCATAAACACATCAACATTGAAACAGATCAGCAGCAACATGAAACAGATCAGCAGCAACATGAAA